CCCCCCCCCCCCCCCCACTGACTCTTTTCTCTGTTTTGCAGGTGTACCGTTGGGAAAGCAAAAGCAAAAAAAATAATTAAAAAGGTACCGGAACAGGTGCCAGTACTGTGTGATCTTGTTTGATTTGTCATGTGTGAACAAAAGCAAAGCATTTTGACTCATATATAAATATAGTCATGTGTGATCTTGTTTGATTTGTCTTAACATATAGATTATTAATATATAATTTCTATAATTTTTTAATATACAAATTACAAGATAAAATGGATTAAAGAAGTGTATTGGATGGTGTGTAAAAATGAAAGTGGACGAATACTCTGAGACGGAGGTAGTATATAAAAAGTACTACAGAATAAAAGGCGATAAAAATATTTTATTTTATCAAGAGACCAAAACGATAATTGTAACAAAAATTTAAAAAATTACTTGACCTTATTAACTGATATAATTTTTCCGTGTATTTAGAACCATATATGCTTTGCTTTCAAAAAAGGATAATCAAGCATTCAAGCCTATTCAAATTTTGCATTATTACTCATTGTCATGTACATTTTTGTTTTGACATTATTACTGGGCGCCAATTGCACAAATGGTGTTTCAAAGCTGGAGTTTGGACATATATAAGAGATGCTTCCTATATTGGGCACTACTCGCACAACGTGCGATTTAGGCTAGTGTACATATATAGGTTATGCACCCAAAAATTTAGGCTAGTGTACATATATAGGTTATGCACCCATAAACATACGTTTTGATACTTTAAACCCAAAAATTTTGAACTCTTTAATGAGTTTACATATATTTTATTATCAGATAAAAGTTCAATTTATCTTCTCTCAAGCATCGTTTGATTGATGGACTTTTAGGATGATGTTTATCCCTTTTTTAATGAGTCCACATGGCACTTTAAAATTCTAGAGTATTAGAGCTTGATCGATCTATTCAATTTATTCTTATTATTTATTCTAATTGAAATTAAATCAGACTAGATCAGATCATAAACAATTTTAAATATAGCTATAATTAGATTAGATCAGATCAGATCAAACTAAATCAAATTGGATCAAAATTTATTTCAATCATATCAGAATAAATCAGATCAAGAAAACATGCACTTAAACCATGTTGTCTTCAACTTATTCTTATTACTTTTTTATTGGAACCAGTTGAAATCAGATCAGATCAAAAATATCTTTAAATATAATTATATTCATATTAGATCAGATAAGGTGAGATCCAATTAGAGCTTATTTTTTTCTTCAAATCAGAACTATTCAGATCAAGTGAAGAGAACATGATGCCGGATTTTATCTCTTACACATTCTTATGATTGACATGTACCTTTTTTTCTTTTAGTTTTCCCCGGCCCTTACAATGGTTCCTTTTGATGGTGACTTCAACTGTTGGATGAAGAAAATGCATGCATGGTCGTTCTTCTTCTTCTTCTTCTTGCTTTTACCTCCTCCCTTGAATGTGAAGTCATGAAGAATGTGAGCCTATATCTTCAATAACTACATCGATCTTCACCCTCCTCCGATCCTCTTGCATCTTACGTAGTTCTTTCTTCTCTTGGAGATCGAAGTTTCCTCGATCATCTAGAGTGCTGCTCACCCACAATGCATGGCTTATCCTCAAGATTGATTGGTATGCTCATGTCCAAATCCATGAGGCTGGCTTAGGGGCGCTGAATCATGTTGAAGTAGGTCCTTTTCACTCTTAATTATCAGGCCCATCCAATCATATATTCAAAATGGCCCTGTCCAATTAAAGGCCTCAACTTTTTTTTTGTTAAAACAAAATTTGTGACAATAAAGCAAAGCACGAACATCTCCAACCATATCATTTTAACTTGCTAAAAGTTTTAATATAACTAGCTAAACTTTTTTGTTCTTCTCCAAAGGTTATGCTTTATTTTAGCAAGTTTGTCAAAAAATAACTTTGGCTTGCTAAAAATAACAAGCCCCTCAAATTTTAGCAAGCCAATACTTGAAAAGTAAAATAGCAAATTATGGTTGGAGAATTAAACAAAATAGTGCTTGCTATATCATTTTTCACTTGTTATAATGTAAAAATAGCAAATCTATAAAATTGTTCAATAGAAGGTAAAGTACATATACAAACATACTAAAATATAATGAAAAAGGAATATACTAGGTGTACACCATTGATATATACCACTTGACAGACACACACATAAAGTAAATATCTATGTGATAAATTGTATATTTAAAAATGAAATAAAAGATTAATTATTAAGAACAAAGTGAAGATGAATACAACACAACATTAAGAGTATTTATTTTGTACTCCCTCCGTCCCTAAATAAACTTCCCTTTTTGACTTTTTGAGGATTTAAGGGAGGGATATTTTTGTGTTGACTTTCCAAAAATACTCTTGATGTGATGTGTAAAAGTAAGATGTGATATGTAGATTATTAGTAAAAAGGTATGATGTGATATATGTTATGAAAAAGTAAGGGGTAAAAGGAGGTTTTTTAAGGGAAAAGAGAAGTTTATTTGAGGACAAAGAAAAAATGGAAGGGGAAGTTTATTTAGGGACGGAGGGAGTATTATTTATATTTATTGGATTATGTAGCCCGTAGAGTATATTGGGCCCGTGGCCTATGTAACTTGTATTTATTTTCTTGAGTTGTGAATAATGAAGCCAGGAAAGTTAATTTTCAAAATTCTACATAAAATATATGTAAAGAGATTTTTTTTTTTAAAAAAAGGAGATAGACGTGATGAGATGGTGTGATTCACAACATATACTAGTATTCTAACCCGTGCAATGCACGAGGTCGAACAAATTCATCCGGGATATGTAAACTTTTTCCCCACTCAATTTCTCAAAACCACAATACCACTGACAACGTTCTTTCGCAGCTTGTCAACAATTAATCTTGTACGGTTACACAGTTTATATGTTTGGTCAATGTTTCTTAATAACATAATAGGTACCCCCATTTTTAAAACTACTTGTGGTTTGGAATCCCCGATCATTTGATTTTATTCAAAAATCAACTGTTATCCAATCGTCATCAACACCTACATTTGGATCCACCTGACATGAAGAATCAGAACTCAAGCACATCATTTCATCTTCACGGAATGAGTGATATGACAAATTCATCTGCCATTTACACACCTTGAAGCGTGGGTTCCAGTAGTGGCTTGTCCTCGAAAAAAGAATAATTTTCTTATTCTCCAATAGATTCGAAAAAGTGAAGTTCACTATATTCTTGAGGGGGAACTCATGTCTAGAATCAAGCATTTAGGCAAAATTTCAATGTCATTTCTTTTATCAATCACTTGTCCAAGCTTTCCATCTCCAATTTTTATTATCCAATAAAAAAGCTTGTGTGTCTCTATTTGTGCAACATGATGTAGACGAATGCAATATCATATTCTTTATCAACGTATAAACTTTACAATACGACCACATGTTTGAAAAATTGATGGTAGCACCTACAATTTTCTCTCTCGAAGCTCTAGGTAAAACATGAAGAAGTTGTTGCAAATTACATCCGAGTACAACCGTTTTCCATCCGAATGGTTCATTTATGGAGTTTTTATTAGAGAACATCATTACATCTCTCATTCTACAATCCAATGCCTCAAAATTAAATTTATTCATCATACACGCTTCATCTCATATGATTAGACTTGCTTGTTGGATTTGTTTTGTTTTCGGGCTCCCTTGTTTGATGTCACATGTTGAGAACATAATTAGCGCTAGAAGAATTGAGAATCTTGAGTATAATGTCCTTCCCCAAGTAAAAGCAGTGCTGCAATCACACTTGATGCGACATTTAAAACAACCTTATCATTTGACCTCAGAGAAGCAGACAATGATTTCCAAGGAAATGTTTTTCCAGTTCCACCGAAACCATACACAAAGTATTTGAGTACATTTTTTATAATATCAGTTCTATTCTATCTCTTATGCACTTGAAAGCGTGATGAAGTGAGTGTATACAACAGCTTTTATTCAAACTTTATTTACACATGATTTACAAATGTATTCATTAATTTGTATACATGATAGCTTTTTGAAAATAAAAACTTTGGTCGAATTTTTTTATGTGTATTAAAATGTAAAAATAAAACCCACTAAAAATTTGACTACACAAAAAATAAAAAAAATGACGATTAAAATTTGGTCCCTAAACGATGTTGATAATAATAATAATAATAATAATAATAATAATAATAATAATAATAATAATAAGATTATTATTATTAATCCTTATATAAGCTAATATTTAAATCATTATTTATGAATTTTTTAAAAATAAAAACAATATATAAAAAGAAAGGAACTTTTAATGCCATATTTTTATTTAATAGAACATTAATTATTTTTTTGTATATAGTAAAAACATTCTAATTCTAATAAAAATTGTGCTTCATTTTAAAATTACTATTTTTCATTTTAAGAGTACAAAAGTATGTAAAAATTAATGTTAAGTTCTAAGATGATTATTTTTTTACATTTTTATATAAATAAGGGATGCCTTATTTTAAAAAATGCATTACGGGCCATGTATAACTCATCTCCCTTTACATATTTGTAATATTATCTTTTAGCACATAGATATTAAATAGTTTTCTATCTTTTAACAATAAATAACTTATATACAAAGTAATTTTCAAATTCTATGTATTTTTTTACTAAATAAAGCGTGAATCATATGAGAATACAATACTTAATTTTTAACCAAGAATATAACAATTAGTATTTAAGAACATTTCATAAATGTAACGCATTTAAAACAAATAATACCATAAATTCTTTTAATCAATTTTGCAGAAGAAGAAACAGAGAAAATATGATCTTGTGCGAAGAAGTAAAGGTGATCCCTAAAAAAATAGCCTTAAAGGAAATGCATAAAAAAATACATAGAAGTCAATGATGACATTACTCTTGAGGTGTTTAAAAAATATCCAGTCAGCATGCCAAATGTTGTCATTCTAGAAGCTCAACTACCAAATTATATACAGAGTATATAAAGATTAAATTCAGTCAATGATGTAGAAATTGTAAAAAGTTAGCTTGAACATAGCATTTCATGGTGACACAGTTTTTTGATCAATTTTATTACGGAGTATATAATAGAAGATAATTAAACATAATATATTTTTTAATTAATATAATAAATCATCTAAGGACTATAAACATAAATTCTCTAGTGATAAATCAAATTAGAAAAAATTAATTCTAACTATGGAGTTATGTATAATATATTTTTCTAATTTAACACAATTATAGTTCAATCATCTCTTGTTTTTAAATTTCTTAATGTAATTTTTAAGAAAATATACTTTAATGTAGTTTTAAAATTAATTAAAAGTGTAATTTTAAATGAAGAGAGTAAAAAATATTAAATTGGGAAAGAATACTATTATAAAAATGAATTTTCCTATTTCATAATTAAATTTATTCAAAGATTTCAAACCATAATAATAATTTGTTTATTAGGTGTTAATATTTAAATAAATATTATCAAACTAACTTCATTTATTTACATGTATCATAAAGAAATATAAAATTTATTTAGAGGTGAAGAGACTATATTTTTTCTTATTAAAATGTTTTGTAATAAATAAAGAGAAAAAAGTATAGAATTAGGACAACATATTATCATAAAAAGAAAGACTTTTTTCCATTTTTAAGTTTACTCAAATATTTCTTATCCAACTTTTAATTTTATAAGAGAAATTAGGTGGCATGTTAAGTGTTAAAAAAAGGCCACATAAGCATGTCACATGTCAAATTTTTAGAGACTCAACTCTCTTTTTTTATATATAAAGGATAAAGGATTCGGTAATGATAGACGGTATGAATGAAGTACTTATGGTACCAAAATTTATTTATGTGGCAATTTGGTATATAGGGTAACACTACCCCTCTCTTTTGGCACCAAATAGAAAAGTCTACATAGTTGTGGAGTATAATGTTTCTTTTTCTCCTCTCTTTAATTGGGTATATTTTTAGAAATGTTTAAATTAATAACTACAACCTATATATACAAACAACCATATATTTCTTTCATCCTCGTAAATTTTTTACTCTAAAGAAAAGTAAATAGAGACATTTTTATATGTGTCATTTTCTATTGGCTATTATAATTTCTTATGTATTATCATATTTGTGTTTTGAGGTGTATTTAAAAATAATTGTGAACTTCTACTTCAATTAAACACAATTTTAAGTGTTTGCAAGTTAGTTTTAGATTACGAATTATGACTTTAGAATTATAAATTCTACTATACAAGTACTTTTCACTAAAGTTTGAAATAACTGTATTTTATTTCTGATTTTGCACTTTGCGTTTCTAAAAACTCTCCATAGTCACAATCACCTTAGCTTCTTAATCAGTTTTATTTTGCTTTCTATTTTTAAGCACTTTTTACAATAGTTTTTAGATTTGAAAATTAACTAACATTGGAATATTATCAAATTCTTATTGTGTTAATTAAATATTTACACTTTATATTATTTTAAATATAATTGATGAGAATTAAAAATTTTAATTATTTAAAAAAATTCTAAAAGTAATTTATAATATGAGTTTAAGGTAGTTATTTAAAAAAAGAGTAAATTTCATAAATAGTGTCTAAATATTGATAGTTTTTCATATTTAGTCTCTAGTTTTAAGATACTCCGTATTACACAAACAATCCATAATTTTTGAAAAAATATTCTGTAATCGCTCCTTTAGGGACTATTTTCGGAATTTTTTTGTCATGTTTAGCGTAAAAGACTTTATGTGAAATAATTTTTAAAAATTAAGGACCATTTATGTAATAGTTTAGAATTAGGGACCAAACATGAAAAATTAAATGAGGGACTATTAATGAAATTTAGTGTTTAAAAAATGATTGCGAATTAGGGTGTATGAAAGATACTCCGTATGAAATTGTTTATCCCTAACCCTGCTTAACCCCTTCAGATTGAGCTTTTCAACACCTTTCCTTATACCATAGGCTTTTCCGCCTCCATAGAGAAACAGTTGGAGCATCGCACGGTGAGCGGGAGGAGATGGCAGTACCAGCGAGATCTAACGGTTTGGGAGAAGAAGAGGACGACAACGGTATCTTTGTCGAAGAAGAGGAAGACGGCGGTATCATTGTCGAAGAAGAAACGGAGCTGAAACAAGTTGTCGTAGCCGTCGAGCGCGGTGATGTAGAATCCCTTCTCCAATGCCTAGGTACTCCTTCCTTTTGTTTTTAACTTTTTGTTTCATTGTTTTCAGAAATGGAAAGGAAATATCAATTTGGTATCTCAGGTTTCGATTGTTCTCAGTTATTCTGTGAGCAGACAATTGTACAGTAATTCTTTTAAATGCTTGATTAACCTCAAATTTTGAATTCGTGGGGAAATTCTTTTAATGTACTGAACACATATACTCACGGAGTAACTTTAGAATTATGACATGCAAGTAGGAAATACTCCCTCCGTCTATAATGATCTTCCCAGAGCACTATTCCAACTTCACGGGAATTTATATTTATTTGTGTTTTTTCATGGCCTATATAAAATAAAATATTCTTGTCACCACTTGTTTTGTTGAATTTTTGATGTAGTCTTTAAATATGTATATTTTATTTTTTATTTCTATACCAATATTTAAATAAAATAGATTGAAAAAACTTAGGATTTTTCTTCGTTTTGCGAACCGGGAAGATCATTATAGGACGGAGGGAGTAATAGGCAAGGGCCTGAAATAATAATCATTACAAAACTGAGGCTGCCTTTGGTACACATAATTGAAGCCATGAAATTGTAATTGGAGACAATAATTCCAATTCTGCTATTTGGTAGCACAAAAATATATGGATTAGGAATTGGTAGTGCCAAACATGAATTGGAATTGGAGAATTTAATTCCAATTCCGTGTACCAAGTAGACCTTAAGGGTCCGTTTGGTACACGGAATTTATGGAATTGGAATTGTATTGGGAGTTGAAATTCTATGGAATTGATTTGGATGGAATTGAATTCTCCAATTCCAATTCATTTTTGGCATTACCAATTCCAAATCCACATATTTTTGTACTACCGAACAGTGGAATTGGAATTCTTGTCTCCAATTCAAATTCCATAGTTTGAATTCCGTGTACCAAACGGAGCCTAAGGGTATTTAGCATTATTAGTGTACTTCTAGTACGCAGTTTAGTATATCATGATGTTGTTTGGATTTGAAAGATAAACAATTTTACATCATGAGCTTCTGGGCAGTGGGCTACTGGGTAGAGGTAGACTTGGTTTCTCCTTCAGATTGTAATCCAAACCCACCATTTCTATAATTCATATAAGCTTTTATTTAAAGTCTATACCTGTATAATAAACATGCACACTCTAATTCAATGAAAAAATAGACCTGTACTAAATAAAATATTTTTTGAATTAAATGTGATAGCTGAATGGCAGTGCGTAACATCATTTTTAAGCCTCTATAGGCTTTGGGACTATTCTACGTAAATCATTAATACAGTCAATGGAGAGCAGTCAATGTAAGCTGTAAATGATCTTATATAATGTGAAGGGTCAAACAGAGAATTTATGAATAAGATTGCTGGTAATGTTTTAAAATCTAGAAGTATGGTGGTAATCACATTGCATCCAATTTGTTTCTTACTCCGTACATATTTAATGTGATTACCTCTAGGATGAGTGAGGAGCAAACCCAACTGTGTGAATAATGTAATGAGATTACAGGTTTTGTGACCCCAACCAAACAATCCCTGAAAATTTTACTTGAATACCATGCATTTAGTTTTAAACATTCTGTAAGTTTGAATTGAATGCCATCACATCTTTGAACTCTACATTGTTTAGAAGTCCATAAAAGTTGTGATTGAATTGAAAATACTCATAAATCTCATGACATTTTGTAGGAAACCAGAAAAGTGAAGTAGAAAGCCTCAAACTGAAAGTAGCCATAAACTTATAGGGTGGAAATAAGTTGCAGGTTTTTACAGTTAAAGAACTTGTTCCTATAATTGCCAAAGCAAAGCAACTCCTTAATTTTTTATTCCCATGAGGACTGCAAGCGTACCGTGTAATTCATATTGACTTATTTGCTTCATAGTTCCATCAATGTAATCAGTATGGTATTCGAGCAATTCTTTCATTGGATTGGAGTTATTGGACTCCTTGATCTTAGATGGGATTATATGAATGTATTATGTAATGCGACAATTCCTTATCCTAGCAATATGCAAGTGGTTGCCTTTTTGCATTTATGGAATTATTTTTCTACTTGTAACTACGCAGCTAACTTAAGCAGCATAGATCAACCATTAGAAGATGGAGATACAGCTCTTCACCTTTCCTGTTTGTATGGCAAACTGTCATGTGTTGAGGTTGGTTTTGCACAAAAAAATTACAATTTTGTAGTTGGCTGATGTTACATTTTCTATAATGATCACTGATAAATTTCTATAGAAGGGAAAACACATAACTATCAATTTATATTCTTTTCTCCCCATTCAGCTGTTGCTAGATAAGGGAGCCTCTTTGGAGGCCAAGGATGAAGACGGCGCTATTCCCTTGCATGATGCCTGTGCAGGAGGTGTGTAGAACCTTTATATGCAAATACTTTGCATTTGAATGATCTCTATTTTGGTTACCCAAAAAATGAATGATCTCAAAATTTTTTCCTAAAACATTTTGACCTCAGCATAAGCCACCTCTAAATTGTGATAAGTTACTACTTGTGTTCAACAAGAGAGTCCTCTTTGAAATGTCCGATGGAAACAGCCTCTCTACTTTTAAGTAGGGGTAAGATCTGTGTACGGAACCCCCTGCTAGATCATACTTTTGTGGGATTCAACTGGGTTGTTGTGTAATTTGAACAAAGGAATCGAAGGAAGCTAATTTCTGGTCATACATCAATTTTTTATATAAAAAGTTTCCCTGTCAAGTTGAGTATGAAATTAAGTCAATCGAGTAAATTAATTTTTGAAATATAACCATAAATGATTACTATTTCCAATAGTTGCACCTTATAAAAATTTGGAACATGTACATTTGTGAAAGAGTGACTCTTTATGGGATCAAACAGTACACTTTAAGCCCAATATTAAGAAACCATACCTCCACGAGTGCGTGTATAATGTTACATTGGTCAAAGGGTGTATGTAATATTTGTTGAGTAATAATCTTATACTGAGTATGGCTTTAACTTATACTCCGTAACAGACTTGTACACTTGCATATAGCTGAAATTATAGGAATTATTGTTTAAATGTCTATGTTTTTTTATTAGAAGGCTACATGTTTTTATATTATCTTTACTTTTCTCACTGCCGGATCGATAGAAATTATGTTTCTAGTTCACGTCTTCACAATCTCAGCTAGTTTGACATGATATCTTTTTTATGCTCTCTATTAAGATTATTAGGAAGTTGATATTGTTGTTAGTTGTACATGCTGATACGCTAGTGTTTGGACATGGTTTTGTGCCTATACATTCCTTTATAATCAGTGGCANTGCACATTGTAAACTACAGTTGTCGGGCCGTTCTGCCCCATGAATTTTTTCTGAAGACTAAAATGACTATGAGCTCAGCTCATAATGTCTAGATATACTTCTTCTAAATAATAATACATCTCTAGTTAGGAAAAACCCAAATCTGCTTATCAATATAAGTTAAAGCTTATTAAAGATTAAACAAAAAAAATACTTGGGCCGGAAGAGTGGGCTGTAGCTGGTCACTTGTGGGGCGTGCCGCCACAGCACTTTGGGGCAGCCTAGAGATTTGAGGATATTTTTTGGACATAAAATTTGAGAATTTAGCGGGTGTCTATTTTGGGAAACTATGGGAATTTGGGAAAAGTTAATGTTTAACCTGATTTTTTTAACATTGAAACGGTGATGTTTTAATAAGTACACATTTGATATATTTGTGGAAGAACAGTCAAACAGAGAAGGTTGAGAATTTTATGCCGGAGGGAGGGGGGGGGGGGGCACGCTTGCCAGTTGTTCCCCCCTCCTCCACCCCTGCCTTTATACAGTTTTAACCTCTCATTTTCAATATAATTTAGTTTGGTCACCGAATATTCTCATACGGAGGTTTTTTTTACTGTGCAACTATGTGCAGGATTCATTGAAATAGTTCGGCTTCTTATCAATAGGGCCGATCCAGAGTGCGTAAAGAGGATGCTGGAGACAGTTGACATGGAAGGTGATACAGTAAGTCCCCATTAAGAACCTTGAAACATGAACTCATTACTAAGTACAACAAATATCATCATGCAAACACCTTGTGAAATCTTTGAAGTTCAACACATCTGCACTTTTTCGACATGAAATTTCTCTGTAGCCTCTACATCATGCTGCAAGAGGTGAGCATGCACATGTTATAAAGTTGTTGCTAGATTCTGGGGCTTCTCCTACCAAGAAAAATTCATTTGGCAAGGTTAGATCGTTACGAAAAACTCATCACATTTTGTTGCTTAGCTTTGCAAAGTCTAATAAACCATGAAATGTTTCAGATCCCCAGTGAGCTTGTTGAACCTGATTCCGAAGCTATCAAAGTCTTTGAAACGGCTGCAAATGCAATGGCTACCTGCTGAGTTTTTTGTTTGTTTGTTTGCTGAATATAATAGCACGAGCACGGCTTCTTCTTTATCTTCTTTTTGAAATATTGACCAGAAGATTCTCATCACCATCTACTTCCCCAGATGCTAATGGAAGTATGCCTAGAAGGAAGGCACTGACATTGTTTTAGGATGGCCTTTCCCATGGTTGAGCTTTTTAATCCAATAATTCCAGTCTCCTTCTAATTAAAGAAATCTGTGGTGTGTGTTTTTTACTGTGGCCGGTGACAAGAAGCTGGTTATTGAAGATCCAAGGCCCCAAGGTGATGACGCGAAGCGTGTCTGATTCATGAAAGAACGAGAACAGGTAGCGAACATCGCCAATGGCTTGGACATCCATGCCGAGGTTGGTAGGGCGCTGTACCGATGACAGTGTTTGGCGCATTGCCTCGAGAGGTGACTAGAATATTTTATTTTATCAAATAATCAATCGAGACGCGTAATTAAACAAAAGATTCTGTAACTTTCAAATAGGGTAAGGTGTGTAATTCTTTTTGTGGCAAAATGAATAAATGTACACCGTATTACAATAAGATATTTGTTGGGGGGGAGGGGGGGTTCACACGACCGATCGATGATGAGAGATCACATGCGCCAACAGAAACCGATAGGGGACATCATCGCGTGTCCAATATATCAGCGACACCATATATCTACCTATAGTAGCTGATCTCTTGTCTCACTCTAACAACAATCCACGGCGAAACAAGACTCATTATTGTGATTATCTTCATCAATAGCATCCATCCAATGCTGCGAACCCATGCATTAAAAAAAATATTGGCATTATGATCAAACTCCATCGATCGTAGTACTTTTTAATTAATGGATCTCTGAGAGAAATCATTTAATTTAACAAAGTAGAAATAAACCTTTTGGGAGTGGAATTTGAACCGTAACCACTTGGCGGAGTCGTCACACCATTTAGAACTAGATTTGGGTTGCCTGTGAAGTCGCTGTATATATGTCCACGCAAGGTTTGCACATGCATGAGATCCTTGTATGTATTAGGCTCTAAGTTTCACAAAATCTTTCTAGTTTTGATATTTAGAAATTTTAAGAAAAGTATATTTTGATGTTAACTTTTAAAAAAAGTCTTTAGATGTGATTGGTAAATGTAACAGAATATTATGGATATATTAATAGTGAAATAATGTGATGTGATATATATGTTAAAAATTAGTATAGATAAAAATAACTTTTTAATAAAAATGAGAAATTTTTTTGAGACAGATAACAAAAGAAAGGAAAAATTTTGTGTGGGACAGATGAAGTAATTAGTTCACATATCCTCTTCTATCTTCTCATAAAATTAATTTTTGAGTCATGCTATATTAACCCCAATTTAAAACCCACATCAGACGCTATATCACTGAATTTGATTAAGTCTTCAAAGATTGACATCAAACCACAGAGTGAAATATCACAACTTTATTGGAAATTCCAAGAACTCGGTTTTAACAATATTTCTAAAAAGAAAAATTACATTGAATATTGGGGGTGACCTAAAGTCCCTATTACAATCTAAATACATCATCATCAAAATCTATAATATTTTTTCCAACAGTATGGCTGCAATTTCAACAATACCCAATCCCCTTCCTTGAACTGCAAATCCGTTCAGTGTTTATTAGCCGTTGTAGTCATTCGTCGTTGTGCCTCTTTTAAGTTTTCCCGCAAGCACCGCATTAAGGAATCTCGCTCCTACAAAAAATTATCCACCTCTGGCACCTTTCTATCTCCCTGGCAGTACGGTAGAAAAGTCGGCGTGGTTGTTCATACAAGGCTTCGAACGGGGTCCTCTTTAAGCGGGAGTGAATGCTTGTGTTCAAAGCGTATTCGACCCACGGTAGTAGGACCATCCAGTGTGAGGGTTTGTCTTGTGCAAACGCCCTCAAGTACTACTCTACCGCTCGGTTCATGACTTCCATTTGCCCATCGGTTTGGGGGTGGAACGCCGTACTCATTGTCAAAGTTGTTCCGCTAGCTTTTAATGCCTCTCGCCAATTATCTTGGGGAACCCGTGGAGTTTCACCACAATATCAATAAACAAGTGGGTCGTGCGATGAGCGTCAAACCCCGCGGGTAATGCCCCAAATGGACAACCTTTGTCAACAACAAGAAAAAGGCCAGTCACTGAACACCAACAACCAGTGGCGGAGCCAGGTATTGGGGAGAGTGGGGTCAAAGTATAAATAAAAAAATTATAAAGGAATAGTTTATCAAAAATTTATCATACAAGGAGGGGGGAGGGGTTCAAACTCAGGGTCTAGTGGCTGATTTCCAGGTCTTGAACCAAATCAGCTAAGCCAAATATTAAGTAAACTACTATATATGTATAAACTTATCCAATTTTAGTGGGTGCAACTGCAGTCATTTGACCCGATGTGGTTCCGCCACTGCCAACAACCTGGCAGGGGGCTGGGTGGAGTATTTTCTTGTTTAACATGGAATGACATTATATTGCCGCACGCACGTAGGTCTTGACATCGACCCTCATTTGTGGCCAGTAAAAACCTTGTGCAAGCCAGAGAGGAAAGTACGGTGGGTGCCCGGCCAGATCCTTGCTAATGGTGTGTCGTGGTGTTCTCGAATGAGCTGTTGGCATAAGATCGAGGATGACCCTATACAGATCCGTCGTTTGTAGTACGATTGGGTGGTATTTTCTCGTCGGATCTCCTCCATTAATCCGGCACCAGTGAAGAGAGAGCGAGTAGCTGCTGCCCTCGGCCTAGTCCCGTCGTGAGAGGGAATCTGCATGCCACCCAGTTGGCGGCCCTCAATTTGTACTCAGTTTTGAATTGATACGGAGTGAATTATCAAAAAAAAAATCACAAGTTTTGTAATACCATTTTCTTGAAAACTAATAATAGCATATTATCAAAAAATAATTCGAATGCCGCTCAAGAAAACAATTGCAACATACTCCCTCCGTCCCAAAAAGAATGGAACGGTTTGACATTTTGGGAAATTAAGGGAGGGATATTTTGGTATTGACTTTCCAAAAAAATACCCTTGATGTGATGGGTAAAAGTAGGATGTGATGGGTAGATTATTAGAAAAAAGGTATGATGTGATAGGTAGGGTATGAAAAAATAAGGGGTAAAAGTGGTTTTTTAATAGAAATGTAACGGACTTTACGGGACGCAGTTTTTTCTAAACGTAACAAACTTTTTGGGACGGAGGGAGTACAAAACAAAGTAATAAGTGATGGAGTAAATAAATTAGTTTCATTTTGTAGAATGATTTGGAGAAATGTACCTAAATAGGACTAAAACATAATAACTTTCCCAATATAGGACCATATGTTTTTATTTCCCAATGTAGGAATTTTGGTCTTTAACAAGTAGTCATTATTCAAGTAAATGTCTAGCATTACTGGACATTATTCCTCTCACAAGGTCATTATTAATTCCTATTTAAGGAATAAAAAAGTTTAAGTCCTACATTAGGAAAGTCATTATGTTTTAGTCCTATTTAGTGCAAATTTTTTATTGTGCAATCTCACAACTTTTGTAACATTATTTTGGAGAAAAGAATTTTTACCAGATTCTCTTTTTTTCATTTTTAAATTCTTAATTTTAAATTTTAATGTCTTTTATAAAATTTATTTTATAATAATATCATATTTAAGTTTTTTTTCTAGAATGGCACTAATTATTATTTTTAAATAATAAATTCGTTCCGTTTTGTAGAATAATTTATTGTGCAATTTCATAAGTTTTGTAATTTTATTTTGGAAAAATACTACCATATTATTGGTTAATGAAAAGTTTCTTCAATCACGCACACGCAGTTTTTTACATAGAAAGACAAATAAAGGACATCAGCTGTTAGGCATGCTCATAATATTTTTTAGAGAAGTGAGGGATAATGGATGGCGAGGTCATGATCTATGGCGATCGACCATCGATAATGAAGATCAGTGGTGGCAAACAGTCGTAAAACATGGGAGGCTAGGTTTTTAGAAGATTGAGAGACCTTAGCTCCGATACAATATTAAATAATAGAATGATGAAATTACCAGGGAATAAAGGAATGCATGACACAACATGTATATGAAGATTATAATCGAACTAAAAATAAGAATCAATATAGAAACCATCTAAAAATACAAAGGCTATCATAATTGATACTACCATTATTATTATTATTATTATTATTATTATTATTATTATTGTTATTATTATTATTATTATTTCTTCTACTATTACTATTATTACAGTTATTGTTGTTGTTGTATGTTGTCTAACATATCTAGCAGTTAAGATGCATTCATACTCCGTATAAAATTTGCCTTGCAATGGGCACAAGCTTTTAAGACACAGAGATAATATACTCCATATCATATATTTCCTTTCTCCTTGAAAATTCTTTATGTTTTAACTTTTTTTAATCAAACAGTGACATTCTTTGACTACAAATTAAGCATAATCTAAATAAATAAATTGTATAAAAATTTGATACATCGAAACTATATCCTAAGATGAAACTAATTATATTAAATTCATATTATAATTCAATATACTTTTTTTACAATCCGTTGTAAAAAAGTATCACTGTTTACCTAAAAAGTTAAAACAGGAAGAGTTTCCAGGGACGAAGGGAGTATTTCTTACCAATAAAATTAAAAAATAAGTTTATGGTAGACACATAGAATAAAATTTTAGAGAAATATTACAAATTTAAAATGTATTTTAAACTGCGTGAACGAAAGCATTAGTTACAACTATATTTGAATCTACATATTTATTTAGCTCCCTGAAGATTACCATAACTCTCGTAGCATTTAGTATTTAATTATGGTAAAGCGTACAGAAAAGTCACCATTGCTAGCTTTAGTTTAGGAGCAGAATGGGTCGTCTATACCACATGGACAATCGAGAGACGCAGCACCACAATTAGTTTTTATTATATCATCACAAAATGTGCTACACTTTTGTGACAAAATCATATCATCACTACCAAATAGTGCTGAATCTACTTCGTAGCATAATCCATAACACCTACAGTAAGGTTTTCCATTGCACTCACTTGATACTCCACATACCAATATTAATTTGAGAACTAGCATTTTGAGCAGTAACTTCATCATGGTCTCATTGTGAGAAATCGTAAGTTGCTTGCTCTCAAAGACAGAATTATGATTCATTTTTAATAATAATAATAACAACAATAATATTGTATAAGACTAGTGTGACCCGGCTTGCGTGTTTTAATCATATTCTACAAAAATTCTTTTTGTAGAAATTCCATTGGGTCGAGAACAACGGGTCGAGTGTCAGATAAAAATGAGTAACTAACGACTCGCATATAAAGCCAGGATCTACTATTCTAATCCAAAAGTTTAACCTGATAGGTAGGGTTTCACCTTTCTATATATGCTGGTAGTATTCATCTTTATTTTTCGAAGTGGGAACTCCAACACTCTCGATCAAGTGTTAATAATTAGTGTGACCTAGTTAATGCTTGGACAAACTGATTTAGCATCTAAATCTATTATAGGTGGCCCACATAGCGGGTGATG